TGCGTGACCTCCGACCTCACAGCATGGTTCTTCAGTAACAGCTTGTCCCTTTATGCCGCCAACAGCCTCATTTTTCCACATTTAAATGTGAAAGTTTAAAGACGGTGTTTGAACTCCTGAAGCCAGGGCCTCCTTACAGACGTCATGCAGTGGCATGCAGTGTCATACAGTGGCATCGATACGGCTTCACGGCTTTGCACTGGTTTAGTGATGTGTCACTAGGTTAGGGTAGAATTTTGGAAGGTACTAGAGTTCATGCTAATGGTGCAAATTATGAAATAAAATATTTTTCAAAATTCATTAGGTATTTAATAGTATGTTTATGAGACAAATGCCCTTTAATCTACCTAACTTTGGTACTGGCCTGCCCTGTGCAGGGATGTATGGGGTGTAGAGCCTATAGCACAAGGGACTCAACCCCATTCACACCCGTGGGCAATTTGGTAACTCCAGCTAAACCTTAGATCACCTGGAAGAAATTCTACGATGACATGAGGCATGCAAACACTGGGAGCCATGCTGGAGACTTGAACCCCAGTCCTAGACATGAGAGGTAATAGTTCTAACCACTGCACGCCCCCCCCCCCCAAATCTAACCAGCTGCTTTGCAAAATAATTGATTTTTTTCAGGTATTAGGCATAAGGCAGAATGCAGCCTGTTTCACAACTATTAATCACTTTTGAGAAAAAAAGGGAAACAGTTACTGAACTTTTGGAATAAAACAAATGTGATAAAGTCGCTTGTGATAATATTTCCATTACAAAAATAATAATGATCAATGACACTGCATTTGATGTGGTGCTGCTTTCACCTCGTGGACCTGTGAGGTAACACACTCACACAGCCATTTGTTAATGAATGTCAGCCCACTTCCAGTGCCCCCCCCCCCCTTTTACTTACTGTCCACCCAAGACCCCTGGCAGCTGTGATTGTGGTGTTGTGGTCTTTTTGTGCTTCTGATCTGGGACGTTTAACATGCTACTAGTGTTTCATAAAAGTCAGATGGAAGATCTATGGTCTGGCATCACCCAGAGAGATTCTTACTGAATGTCATTGTGCCTGGTGTGTGCTACGACAATAAAAGCATTCTATTACGTTTTGACCCCAAGCGTGCTAAAAAAAAAATTTATACAGTACTGTGCAAAAGTCTTAGGCAGTCCAAAGAAATGTTTAAAGCTGCTTATCTGGGTAGCAAGTGTACTTTGGCTTAGAACAAAAACACAATTTAACATTAGAACATGTGCAAATTAAGAGTAACAATAAAAACTAGTAATAATTTCTTCTGTTTTCTATAAAGTTACTGATACCTAGTTGGATGTCTAGATGAACACGGCTTCAGTTCCCAAACCTCTCCTCAGGGGCACCTCAGCCGTTCTGTGAGTTTGTTAAATTTCACCAACACCTCAATTAAATAATTAAATTAATTGGTTTAAAAAGTCAGTGACAGATTGACTAGCTGTATAGGGTGTGCTAGTGGCCAAGTCAAAAAATACATGGCTGCACTGGACGGTCGCTGCAAATACTGGGCTGATTTTAGCAGAGGTTCTGAAACGGCTAAGCTGACACACTTTGACAGGCATAATATCATAGTTTTACACCAACACGAGGATAATCTAAACATCATTTTCTTTGCCTGCCTTTTGCACAGTACTGTACATCACACTCCTTAATGATATTACATCTATTCATAACCATGTACCTGGTTCAGTCGGGGTTCCCAAACTGACCGCGGACCAGTATACGTTGGGCACAAACCTGTAAAATTTGTCGGTCAGGGGGGTGGGGGTTGTTACATTGATAGATTTCCCTTTTTTTCCACATGCAAACATGTAAGGGGTCATAAATATGTAACTTGAAAATAAATGGTTAATTTATGGAAATTAACCAACCCCTGCCCCTCGAACCCCCCGCGTTCTGCACCCCAGTGGAATGCTGCCCATGGACTCACACTGGTTCTGAGTACTGGGGGTTTGGGTTCTCGCGCTGTGGGAACCCTGAAGCTCGTATATCATAATAAAATACACAAACATAACAAACACAAACTGATACAATGGACCCTGTTTGCAAATTTCTGCTTTTCTTTGTAAGAGGCGAAAGCTTGTCTATAGTTGCAGCTGTTCTAATAATGTAATGAATCTGTTAAAATCTTGGCAGGTTTCAGTCTGTAGAGGCGGACGCTGCCAGCACTCAGGTCAGGGATCCCCAAACAGTATTGTTTTACTCCTCTGTGGCCAAAGCCATGGTGAGATCTGAAACCACGAATGCCAACAGCATACAGAGGCCCAAGACCTCACGCTCTGCCTGCGAATGGCCAAAACGTGGCTGTTAAAAGAGCAGCATGTGCAGCGTGTGGTGAGAGCTCTTGTTTCGACGGGATTTTACAATGCAAGCGTAGCTTTGTCAGTATAACTTTGCTGAAGTATTTCGGTTGTGCATTCAAATCATTTTTCCTGTAAAAAGCACATACATATACTTCAGTTGTGAATCGTGTGGCTGAAGTCCAGGGGCCTCAGCTAAATTTTAAATTTTAAATCTGGAGTTGCCACCCATCTTGTATTTTATGGGATCATTAAAAAAATAAAATGCTGTGTCCCGTTTTGAACCAATACAGTAAGAGACTTGTTCAGTATTTACACATTCAGACTGAAATTTACTTTGCACTTTAATCCAGACTATAAAACTGATTCCCCCCCACCCAACAAATTTTCAATTTTAATCCAGATCTCCCCCTAACTTTTATATATTTATTTTTATTTTGAAAATCCCTCCCTAACAATTTCTGACAATTCAAATAACTCAGGGACCTCTGATCATGTTAATGCATCTCAGGAGATGCATTTGGTTGCAAATGACAAACTTGACAAACTTAGGTCATTGATCTGTCCATTTCATCTTACCCATCCACCCATCATTACCCATCCACCTCATTATCTTCTAATAAATAAAACTGGAAAAAGTAGCGGCGTGATTTTTCTGGTTTATCAACAGAGTGCAGGAGTTTCAGGGTATTGTCCGGTAAACTGACAGTGGTGTCCTGTGCAGATCGTCACGTACAACCACACGCACACAAATTTCCTGCAGTTACTCAAACTTTTCTTGCCCCCGTAACACGGAGTAAAACAAACACCGTAAGCTGGCATTTTGCACTGAGACTCAGCCATGAAGGATAACTCTTATAAGTTAGAAGACAAAATCAACACAGTACCATAACAATTTAAAAAATCATGATAATACATAGTCTTGTCTCTTTCCCTCCATCCGCTCTGCATGCATATTCATGTATGTTCTGTGTTGCTAATAGGATGCATCAATACCCATGAGCCTCTCAGATCTAATCTTTTCGCTTGAAAACTGTGAAGAGAAAAGCAAAGACTGAGGAAAGTGAGGTTCCACAGCGATTTATGGTATTAATTCCCACACTCCCCCTTTTGCTCCTGCTCTTCCAGATTGGAAAACAGTTAAAGTGTTTAAGTTGCCAAATGGCCCGGCAGGAGAGGGAGAAGAGCCTGATTTAGAGAGAGCGATTCGGCTGAGATCGCTATCATTCGCATAACTTTATTAGTGCTTCTGGTGCATCTCCTGTCTGATTTACTGTGCAGTCCCAGGGGCTGCTGGTGTAAACACAGAGGAAATCCCTGCACAAGGTAAACCTGTCACGCCACACTAGCTGCTGCAGGAAAATGCAGCCGACGCATCAGTAAATCTTTTTGCCAAATGGACGGGACATGGCCTGCTCTGGGCTCACCTCTGCTGCTCTCAGCTCCAGCTCAGCAATCAGACTCTTACTGTTATTTTTCATGTGGATTTCTACCTTCAAAACACTGATTTTATGCTTTCATTTCTTTAACTGGAGTCTGATTCCAAACAAAAGGCTGTCACAAAAATAATCTTGTAACACAGGAAAAGTCGTGCAGTGCCACATGTCAGATAGTGGGGAAAACGAGTGGAGCGTGAATGATTTGTGTGCTTTGGTGACTAAACATTTTCTTTTGTACGCCTCACACTTATCCATGAATAGAAGCTTTTTTTCCCCAATTATTATAGTCGGGTTGCGTGGTATTTCGTATAGTGTAATGTGCTTTTCTTACGTTCATTTCAATTTCGGTGTTTACAAATTAATCTAAATCATCACTGCAGCCAACACTGGTGTAAGAATTCCACTCTGAATTCTTTAATATTGCTAATTACTAAGCGGCGGATTCATGGCAATCAGTGTTTCCCATTCATCTGGTCAAAAATCAGTAAGTGGTTTCAAGGCATGAGCAAAGGCTCTGTGTTGGGGGGGGGGGGGAAATTTAATAATTTAAATGCAAAAGTCTATTTATTACAGAGGAGACAAATGAAGTCACGGTCATGTTACCCTCCTGTATCTGGTACAATATATCAGAAAATTAGAATTAATCAAATTAAAATGGTTTAGCTTCATGCCAACTATACCACAGGACCAATAAAAATGTTCAGTGTTCAGTTAAAAATGTTCAGTGTTCAGTTAAAAGTGGTTACAGTTTAAGTACTATAATGCAGAACTAAATATTATAGTCAGTTTCCATCTTAGTCACTGGCTGATTAAAAAGGTTTAGACTTCACAACAATGAGATAAGTACGCATCTTCCTTCTGACTGTAATGCGACATGACCCTGCAGTGTCAGGACTTTGAATCCCACATCTGCTCTGTGTGTGTTGCATGTTCTCCCTGTTGTGTCGGTAAGATGACAGATGTGTGAATCACATATTTTTAATTCCTTTGCATTATTACTGAACAATCTAAAGGTTTTGTCAAACTAATACATTTAAAATAGTTTTTGAGTATTAAGCACACACATGGAGTATGAACCCAAAACAAATTGACCCATCCACTCACAAAGAACCCAGACAAATTTAAGAGCAATGGTTAAGCCTTTTAGAATAAGTATGTAACTGCATGTTCAACGTTATATTTCATTATCCTGTGGAGAGATTAACCATAAAGTGTTTCAAACAAATCACACAAAACCCTCAGTACAATACAAACAGTTTAATTGTGTCATTAACAATCAACCACTCCTAGTTAGAACATTTCTGGATTAAGAGAACAGAGGAACACTTATAAAACAGTTAGTTGTAACAAAATAACCGGTGTTCTCATTGCAATAAACTCATAAAAAAGAAACACGTCTTTTTTTTATACAGAATATTTATACAGGAATAGCTTCAAATTGGATCGTTAACCAAAGGAAGACACATTGCAGACATTTATTTTCACATAAATTGCATATGTTTTTTTTTCTTTCTCTAAGGTGTTCTATAGGTTAGTATTTACCTAAGCTTACTTATTTGCATGATAGTAAAAATTGCATACAACCATTGTGAAGCTTGTAGCATGTGTTGCTTGACATACAGCACTTTTTAATAGGCAACCGTTAAAGCACATTTTCCATTTAAAACGTTTAAGACACTTCAGATAAACTGCCCATCAAAATTACAATTATAAATAGAAAAAGGATAAAATGGAAAAAAAAAGCTTTACGTAACAGAACCTTCCAAAAAAAGTAATTACATCAGAATCTGCAAAATAAATAGGACAACAAAACGGAGGTTGTTTCACATTTTAAACCGTGTGGAGATTCAGTAAGTTACAGTGACAAACTTTTTGCAAAATAATTGAACATCGGCAGTGCCATATAATACAAGGCATTTGTTGGCATAGTTTTTTTTAAAACTATCTTTTTACAATTAATATGTCTATTGGTAAAGTATATTTTAATGTTATATATATATATTATATATATAATTGTGTTTGTGTGTTTGTGCATACACAAAACACACACATGGACACATACTTCTCATTAACGAATGTTGAAGAATCGAGCTAGCTATACTTCCAAGACTCTTCGCTTTTCGACCATTTCCAGTTTGCGTGACCTATAATCAAGTTTCAGCTTTTATTATTATTATTATTTTCTTTTTAGCTAGAGAGAATAATGTCACTGCAGCAGGCATCCAAGCCTCCACGTTAAGGCCTTGTCTTCAGCCGCACTGTACGCTTGTGAATTCCAGTGAACACCACATAACATAAACATCTATCAAAATCTATCAAACTCTATTGACTTTTATCAGTAGCTCAAAATCAGTGTAAAAACGATGCACGTCAAGTGCAATCTGCAAATATCCACGGTAACATACGTATTTTTTTTTTGTGCAAGTTCATAAATGATGCATCCATTTCCTTTTTACAGTTAATAATACATGGTTTACAAATTGAAAAGGAAATCAGGAGTAATACTATCGTTTTAAAGTCTATTTAAATAGTATTACAGTATGAAGAGTAGGGCTACTCTTTCGAGTCGTGGTCGGACTCCGAGTGAATGTCAGCCGACAGCTGCTCCTCGATCTTGATTGAGAAAACCGTGCTGTTGGTCTGCGCGTTCTCGTTCAGGTCCTTCAGCAACTCGCCCTCCCTGAAGTCCGCCAGGTCCTCCTCAAAGCCGGCGTGATCCTTCAGCTTACCTTGATGGTTGATGTAAAAGCGCTGGTTCTGGAAGAACTTAATGATGGTGTGCTTGGGCAGATCCAGCTGTGCAGAGAGCGTATGGATGGCCTCGTCATCTGGGTACAGGCCCACGTCCTGGATGAAGCTCTGCAGAATGCCTAAGGCTTCCAACGAGATCTTGCCCGCGGGCTGGACTTTGCTGCGGGTGTCATCCTCCGATTCGGCCGGTAGGGCAGTGGACGGCTGCCGGGGTGGAAGGCGGGGCCCCATCGGCTGCTGCAAGGGCTGCTGGGACAGTGGGGGCTGGGGGGGGCTCTGCTGTGACAAGTGGGTCTGGTGCTGAGGCTGTGGATGAGGCTGAGACTGCAACAGGAAAACAGATGGGGGGGCGGCGGCATTTAGACGCTTAAAACATCAGATTAACGTTTCTGTTTCCAACTGCTGTGTTTTTGGCACTTTTTCATTATGCATCTATGAACCATTGTCCAGGGCTGGAATTACCCAGATACTATCTCATCTCTATGACGATAGTCAAGAGTTGAACAAGAAAGCATGACTAATCAATCCCTGAGTGGTGGCCTCTGTTCTGCCAAAATGTTTACGGCAGGCTTTTATATTCAGAATGTACGCCTCGAAATTCTAAGCCTGTTGATTTGACATATACACACACATATATATGTATATATATATATTTTACTGCCCATTCATATGATATAGACAAAACCCAAACTAAGCATGTATACAAAAGCCTATCTGTAGATGGCTGCCAGTCACAGAGAGTGCGATAATCCTATCATGTTCTTTTCTGTTAACAATGTAATTATTCTGGTGGGTTGTGTCATATCAGATTGAGCAAAACACACTGCGCAGGAACAATGAAGTGCAGCTGAAACCCTGAGAAAAGCGGCAGTGCCCCCCCATGAAGAACCCCCACACTAGTACGGCTGTGGAGTCATAGGCCGTTTGCATCTGCAGTCAATTCAAGGAAGCTACGCACGAACGACACCACCGTGTTTGCCAAGTCTGCAACACTGCAATGGCGTACAGGCAGCAGGGAGCGCTACCATTGTAAACTTTACTGTAGCTAAAACGTTTAACATTATTTTTAAAAGCAATTTAAGTTCTCAAAATGTAAGCCTCAGATCATGAGATCCTGGATCAGTTAGAAGCAGCAGAGCTGCAGTCTTGGTTCAGTCTTGGTCCAGGAGCTGTAGCACAGTATGCATAAAGTTGAGTTATAGTTCCTGGGTCCAGATTAATAAAGTTAAAAGTAAACGGAAGTAAGAAATGTGCGCAGGAGGCCGGGACCCTGTGGACTGTGTGCATTCGGTCACCTGCAGGGGCTCTGAGGGCACGTGTAAGATGTGGGGGGGGCGGTCGACGTGATGCTGCTGGCCCACACTGCTCTCCTGCTCGTAGATGGCGTCGCGCTCCGCCTGCGGCAGGCTCAGGAAGCGGCGGATCATGGACAGGTTCTCCCACAGGGTCCGGTTCTCCGGGGACGGGTCTTCCTTCCACCGCAGCAGCTCACACAGCCAGCCCTGGGGGGGCAAACATGGCCTTCCTCAGTCCTCACTACCTCCAGCAACGTGGTGACCATGCTGCAGCTGCAACTAAGCATTTTATCTTGGATTCAATTCATTTTTATATAGCGCCTTTCGCAGCAGAGTCACGCCATGGAGCCTGACAGGACTGTGCGGCAATCTGTCACATCGTTTATACAGAACGGTGCATGAAGCAGGGTGGAATGGAAGCGGGAAAGGCAGAAGACAAGAGGAGAGGAACCAAAAACTCCCAAATAGGGAGAAAGAAAAAAAAACTCTGGGGGTTGACTGGTTGCCCACCCCTCCCCCCCCCAGCATGCTAACATTAGAGGAAACGGTGACAATGGGCCAGCTTTGATAAAGGGGGGGTGTGACCTGTGATCATGGTCAGAGCGCATTAATCAGTCAGGTCTCCGAACAGGAGTTTATACACGCATGCCTTCTCAGGCTGCTAGCTGAGCTTGGCCCTAAGCTTTCAGCGCCAGCTTTGCAGTGGAGGGAACATTCCACAGGGACGGAACAGGGCGTGCAGGCCCAAGACCGAAGCGGAGCCCCTTTGCTGGCCCACGGGCCTCCGCGCCGTGACCGCGCATCCGAAGTGTGGCAGCACATGTCTCGGTTCTGCCGGATTACCGCGAGGCGACACCGGACGGCAAACGTGTGCCAGGGCCAGAGCCACGTGGCCACACTGCACGCTGGAGATAACTCAGCATTTCTGCTGCCCCCCTCCCATCCAGCTCTCCCCAAAACCCACATCAAACCTGAGATGGGGTGGGGGGGGGGGGGGCATATAAAGAGAGCCGGCCCACCTTGTTTCTCTGCCATGTTTACTATGGGCTTTTTAATTTGCATGTAGAGGGATTTTGGATTTCTCCTGACTGATGTGGGTTCCGGTGGATCCAGAACAGAGACGCTCAGTTGTTTCAACCTCCTATTAACACGGTTAATCCAAACTCACACAACAATGACCTGGCTGCATTAAGCACACATGCAGAAGATCAGAACCAATCTATAAATAAAATTAAAAATTTGTACCATATGTAAGCCTTAGAATGTAAGCACAGCTATACTAGTAACGTCGGTTGAGTTAGACAGAACTGTGCGTGATCCGGACTGCTAGCACATTAATAGGATAATTAGCAATGTCTCGTATCCGTCTGTAAATGCTCCTTTGATCCTCATCATGGCCGCCTCACACTCGGCTGCAAACCGCCCCAGTGCAGGCTGCAGGTCACCAGCTAATGACGCCAACAGGACCACATCATCTGCAAAAAGCAAAGACGCGATCCTGAGGCCCCCGACCCGGACCCCCTGTTAAAGGGCAGCCCAGGCAGAGTCCAACACCCCCCAGCAACAAGTCTGACTTACTGCTGGCAATGCAAACCAAAGTCACGCAGGGAACAACGGACCACGTACCCCATACTCCTGAAGCACCCCCCCCAGGACCGCCTGAGGGACACGATCATATGCCTTTTCCAAGTCCACAAAGCACAAGTAGACTGCTTGGGCAAACTCCCACGAACCCCCCAGTACCCTTGCAAGGGTGAAGAGCTCGTCCTGTGTTCCGCGACCAGGACGGAATACGCATTGTTCCTCCGGGATCCGAGGTTCCAATGGACAGACCCTCCTCTCCAGGAACCCGGCACAGACCTTCACAGGGATGCCTTTCAGATCGACAGATTGGTGCAGCGCCCGCAGTAATGCGGACGACGTACCGTTCTGTTCTGGTGAAGAGGGAGCCGAGCCAGAAGACAAAGCTCTCGATTTACCGGTCGGTCTACGTTCCTACCCTCACCTATGAGCTCTGGGTAGTCGCTGAAAAAGTGAGATAAGATACAAGCGGCCAAAATGAGTTTCCTCCGCAGTGTGGCTGCGCTCCGCCTTAGAGATACGGCGAGGAGCTCGGACCTCCAGGAGGGGCTCAGAGCAGAGTCACTGCTCCTCCGCATCGAAAGGAGCCAGTTGAGGTGGTTTGGGTAACTGTCTGGGGTGCCTCCTGGACCCCTCCCTGGGGAGATGTTTCAGGCATGTCCCACTGGGAGGAGGCCCCGGGGCAGACCCAGGACAAGCTGGAGAGATTATATCGTAATATAATTACGACGACAAGTTAGGTTGCCTTCTTAACAGGACACTCAAAAATTGTGATTTTATAATGCATACATTTTTAACATTTTTGCTTTCACATATTGTATATGATAAGAGCTAAGGTATAGGCAGGGAAAGGGCAAAAAATGAAAATATCTATTGTTGTAGATTGATCTGACAAACATGTTCATATTTTACATGCCTCAGGTAACATCCGAACGTCACCGGCATGTGTAAGAGAGAATGACTGGTTACGTTTAAGTCTGGTTACTGGTCCTTTGGAAGTGGCCTGCTGGAACTGCTGAAAGCAACTTTTGGTCAGATGTTGTCACCGTAGCTATTCCAAGCAGCCCAGACCATGGTTGGGATCTCTGTGAAACACGGTTTCTCTTCAGTGCACACAAGATCTGGATCCAGTGATCCCAGCAGACAGAACTCTTTCAGTAGGAATCTATAATTAGCCATGGGCACACAAGATGGGAGTTGGGAATTGCTGGTAGGGGGAGGTGTCGGCGTTTGCTTATCCAGAAACAGTCCTGTTTATGGAGACTAAAGTCTCTGCTGGGCCTCTTCCTCAGCAGAGGTCAAGGGTCACGAAGAACTGTAGGCTAATAAACCTTTCTGCATCAATCCCACACACACACACACACACACACAGCCTGCACAAGCTCCACTGTGCACTTGTGTTAAAACAGCAAAGGGTCATTTGGGGAGGACAACAGGCAAATTCAGAGTGTCGGCTCTGTGAAGTTACACAACAGTGTGCATGTGTGTGTGTCAGTGTGATGCAGACACGTGACAGCAGCGCTGTCAGAGAACAGCCTCTCATTCACGGGGGCCCCTGCATCCCTCCACGCCCCAGCACAGGGGCCCCGCGCACCAAGGGCCCGACACGAGGCACTCGGTACTGAAACGCGCTGTCAGAGGCCCCTAAAGCAATGCTGTGCCACTTCTGTTCTCCGGCATCGCAACAGACTCACACAGCAATGCTTCAAGCCAATTTCCCAAATTTAAAATGTTTTTAAAAGTCTCTTACAAGAAATTCATGGACCGCCGAGTGATAAACACCTTGTTTCTAAGTTTCAGGGTATATTTTTATTCTATAAATACTTAATGGGGGGAAGAAAAAGGGATCAAGGAGACCAACACTCCATTGTGAAGGAGAGGAACTCATCTGAAGTCAAACATCACGATCTGTCACTGCAGCTTGCGAATGGCTCAAAAGACACTGACAAGGGAGTGGGAACGTTCGCACGTCGGAGGAAGGACTAAGGGGGGGGGGGGGACGACAGAGGAAGTATTGTTCTCTTATCCTTCATCTTGGCTCTGGCCCAGAGCAGAACGCTGCATTTTTTTTTTTTCTTAAGAGGATAAACTGGAAAGGGTAACGCGGCACACTGAAAGCTGTCATTCGGCGCGGTCCGCGGCCACACAGTCGCACGCGCCACGCGGCGGGCGCACAGACGGGCCTCGCTGTTCGCTCGCCGCGTCCATCTGCCGACGGGGGAAACATTCGCGCACGCTCGTCTGTGCTCTCGCGGCATATGTGGATCTCCTGCAACAATAAGCAAACCCGCTGAAAATAGACGAGCACGTTTGGAGGAAATCTTATTATGCAAATACAACTGCTCTGAGCCTTTGTTTAAAAAATTTATTTTTTTTCTTGCTGGCATCTTTGGGGGGGGGGGGGGGGGGGTCGGGGTATGGGGGGCCAGATATTCCAGACTCAACTAGCCCAGAAAAGGTGACGGGAATATAACAACTCAAGGAAATCCAGCATAATGTGCAATTTCTACATAAAGTTCTTTTATATGGATCATAGGACATTTATAGACTTAAACAGTCCATGAACTAGGGTTGTGGTTCCATTGACCAAGGGGCCCACAAGATTGCAGAGACGGGTGAGGGCCGACTCCCCAGCGGAAGACGAGGAACCCGCCCCTGTTTGGTCTTCAAGCACAGATGACAGCAGCGGAGAAATGAAAGTCTGCTGTGTACAAACTCCACCTGGACCAACCACCTCACATTCATCTCTTCAGAGCAACTAGCGCTCCCTGGAGGGCCCCCACCAGATGGGATAACTTCCAAGGTGTTCAAATTAAACCTACGCAGGCTGCATTACTGATAACTGCACAGGGGCAAAAAAAACCTTTAAGGGAAAAAAAAGACTAACCTGTATGACTGTAAAGTGATCTGATATAGGTGGTTTAGTCAGCCATTTTTAATGCCCATTCCTCCTTGAGTGATGTAATAAAATGAAAATAACTGCATATCAAAATTGCTGTAGGACTCTAATGGCTCATTTTACAATGGATACAGAAACATAAAAGAAGCCAATCAGAAAACATACATTTTCTGATAGTTCAAACAAATTTAGAAGCTTTCAAAAAGGTAATAAATCACAGCTTAATTAGGCGTGATAAAACGTGCAATACAATATTTCAGTGAGTGTAACCTTTGGAGCGCACATATCGCTCTCCCCAAGTTTGCCGCCTCTGATCAGCGGAGTGCCTTTAATAAACGATTAAAAAAAATGATAAAGGCAGCAGAGTCACGGCGGCGGTGGCTGAGCTGCACACGTCTGAACATCTGCTCGGGGACGGCGACGCGCCGCACGCCCGTCTCACGAGCGACACCGCGGCCCCTCGCACACGCACACACACACACGCACACGCGTGAGCGCCAGCTGGGGGGGCTGCATGATGTCAGCACTTTTTGGGGGTGAAGGTTGCGACTTCTACAGTCGCACTGGGGATTCTACTGCCCGCAAAGACTGACAGACGGGGAGGTAAGCATTCTCTACATTATGCAGAGTCATGGGGGGGGAGGGGGGGCAGCTGGCAAGTTTACTCCCCCCATGCAAATTCTTCAATTATATGACATTTTACTTTTTAAAGTTATTATTTTGGGATTTTTAAATACGTGAAGGGCTTAATGAACATTTCAAACCAGATTAATATCACCCCCCCCCCCCCCAAGTTAAGGTGGACCAAATGTAGCAGAGTCAGTGTATTCGCAAATGGAAAAAATTCTTGCGCTAACGCTAATCTGAAGATCAATCAACAAACAAGCAGAAATTATTACAGCTTCCTGTAATCATACAGCGGTTAAATTTTAATTTTGAGAATAATAGACTGAGACCCTCTATCAGAAAATATTGGTGTTGTAGACAGAGATGGCCATCAATCTGCTAAATTAAAAATAATTATTATTTTATACATACACACCTACACACACACACACACACACACACACACACACACACACACACACGCAAGTTTTTTTTTCCGTTCCTATATCTGTTGTTTTTTTGACACACACCCAGATTTATATCAAGTCGACTGCACTGACAATCAAACTCCCCAACTGTCGCCAGATCTTAGTCATCCGCAGAATGACTCAGCATGATGGGGGAAAAAACCACAACATCACGGTGGCAAAGCAAAACTTCCAGGGCTCCTCGACAAATTACCTCATAGGGTAACGATGACGCCGCGAGAAAATCTGAGGCCGGTCTCCATGTTGCATTTGGCGGGGGGGCGGGTTTGGTTCGGGGGCCGTGGAACGGTACAGATATTGCACTAATAATGCTGGAGAAACAGATGGACAGTTTTCGCTTGTCATGTGTGATTTCAATTTAAAATAAATAAATAAATAAATAAAACCAGCAAACAAGCTGTTTGTGGTTAAACTGCCTAATGGGCTGTTATCAGGTTCTAGAAATTTACAGGATACACGCATGTCGTAGAAAGGAAGTGAGAGAGAGAAAGAGGTGAAGAAAGAAAAAGGAGAGCAGGAACAAACAGCTATCAAGACAGAAGGGGGAGAGAG